CTCCTAAAAGACCTAATTCTGGATTATTTTCAATATGGTAAATTGCCTTTTAAGGAAGAGTCTAAAACAAACCTAGTGCTTCAAATCACTTCGAGGGCTTTCTCTTCTGCTGCATTCACACTGGCTTAAATACATCAAGCTTCCAGCATTAGCATAAATTCATTTCAGCAGAGGTATGGGTTAAAAATTGCAGCCCCTTGTATCTCAGATCCACCCTCAAAAAGGCATGAGTTAACAAAGGCCTACTTTAATAGCAAAGCTGTTAATCATAATCATGACAAGCCATGCAGCATGAAGTCTCATCATGCTAAGTGGTATACAACCAACCTGCCAATTAATTTACAACTTAATTAGTTTCCTTCTATCGTATAAAACTTGTCACCGAGCATGGATTATTTTAAAATTGTCTTTCAAGTTTTTCCGGTGCTTGGCACGTCTGAAGCGTTCTCTTAGTTGATGTGAAAAGGTACCCTAGTTGTGGATTTGTGCCATACGTAACTGTCTCAATTTATAAAGCTGAATATTCAAATTACACAAAGGCTCGTATCTTTCTTGATGATTATGCTTTGTTTTTCATCACAGAACTGAGATCCTGACAATTCTGAAACTTCACCTTCAGATGAAAATGAATAAAACAACATTTTCTTACATGCCTTACCCAGGTTCCCATCCTAAGCTCATGATGGTTGAGAACACATCAGTAAGTTCTGGTGGCAATAATATTCTTTGCTATGCGGTTATGTTCTGGAGTGAGCTACAGCAAACATTGCCAAACCCCTCTGAAACCCAACACGAGTCTCACTCCTATATTTAACTGTTCTGGGAGAATGCAGCTACAATAAGTGGCCTTGGCAAAGCATGAGTGAATCTGCCAGCAGGAGGAGCAGATTGCCAGGAGTAAGTCCCTTAACATCAAGACCAAAGCCACTTTTGTCTTATTTTTCCTTAGGTTGCTGTTATGTTATTTTAAACTTAAATGAAAGAATTAGGAACTACATCGGCATGAACAAGTTTTTCAGTTTATAGCCATCTTTTCTTTAGAGCAGCTGCACAGACGGCTTTTGGGCCATTAAGATGAAGGAACAGTGACACCAGGTGGACTATCACTTCAATCGCAGGCACATCCCAGCTGTATGGCAACTTCTACAGAACACACAGGTGCCACTGCGGGGACCTCCTGACTCAAGTGAGACCCATCCCTCCCACCAAGACTCTACTTTCAATGTAAGCGTACTTGGCCATTCCTAGAAAGCTCCTTACAACACCCCCACCACTTTGTGCTCCATCTTCAGCATGGTTCAGATGCTAAAAAGAAAAATGAGTTCGTACAACAGTACTTGTCCTCATCAGCTTCTCAGCAACTTGATTACAGGCGGTGGCCTCTAGGATGGGCCATCTGCTACTCTGGGTGGTCCCCAATGGCGAGGACCTAACCCTGCCCTCTCTCCTGAGCCCAGCAGAGCTGCTGGTGACCCCATCTTGGGAAGCAGCAGATCCAGCTTCTCTCCAGGACATACCAAGAGGCTGAGCATAAAATGTGCTGGGTTACAGGAGCACCAAAGGGCAGCAGAGTGTGGTCCTGCAGCTGAGGGTCCAGGGACATTTGTGAGAGGATGTGGAATTGATACGGGAACGAATCTAAGGTTTGAGGCAGAGAGATACACATCGACTGATGCACATTTTTCCCCAAAGTGGTCTGAGAGGCTTGAGCACCCTTATATGTGCAGGTATTCCCAGAATACGTTCCCTGTTTGGAAATGGTATGAGCAGATCACCACTTCCTTCCTCCTGACCACCATTACTGCAGTGCTCTGCCAGAAGAGAAGCTGGGAGAGCAGGAACTGCTCAGCCTGGGGAAAAGAGGGCTCAGCAGGATCGTATCCATCTGTATTAACACCTGATGGGAGACAGGAAAGGAGATGAAGCCAGGCTCTTCTCAGTGGTATCCAGTGAAAGGATGCTTCCTGCAGCCAAAACTGAACCAACCAAAGAACAGGAGCAATTGATATACTAAGTCTAACTGCTTTAAAAGAAAAAGTTATGACACTATATTCCCCTGTAATTCCCTATATCTGAGCTACTTCGCATAGTGCTGCTGCTTGGTACTCACTACTCTGGGACACACACAGGTGCATACATTCGCATCTCAAAAGCACTCCTCACATACATCCTCAGCAAACTGGCTGGTCATTATGCCTCAACTCTTCCAATTCAAAACTCATCAAAATGACTTAAAACCCCAAAGCAACTTTGGTATGTATAAAAGGAGGGGAGCTTTAAGCTGTGGCTTGATCCACAGATAGAGATTTTCAGAAAGAGATGCAGGGTGAGTGCAAGTGGTTTCTTTATTTATTGTGAATTAAGTGCCTATGTCAAATTATTTATCTGGTGCCAGAAAACCGACCTTGGCAAACATTTCATTTGCTGCTACACCAGCTAGGCCTCTTTTGGCTCCCAACCATCTGAATGTTGAAAGAGCACTGTAAACTCAAGAACCTAAAATTAGCATTAACTTTGGTTTCAAGTACACACACCTTACCCACTCACTGGAGAGCTGTTACTACGTGCTACCAGCTCGCAAACATATCCACAAAAAGCAATATACTTGAATTTATGACTTGTTTGCCTAGCGTCCGCAGCATGAGAGCTTTCCAGACAAGACTCTTGCTGAAAGACATTTGAAACCAAACACAGACTGGCAACACAGCACGGAGGAGGCACAGGAAGAGGGACATCTCCAGCCACAAACAGGATGACAGATGAGAGCGCAACACATCTGCAATTACTGAGAGACACTATGAAGGAGAACACTGGAGAAGAAAAAGGGTTGATCAGAACAGTACAATTTAAAACAACCCTTTATTACAACTCCCCCTTCACCTGCCAACAACAGGAACCTTTTTATCAAACTAGGTAAGATAAAGGCTTGATCATTCTTACATCTGTCAGGAAAACAACAATGCAAAACACATTGACATGGAAGGCAGTCATTAGCTACAGGTTACACATTAAACTTCTTCCATTTCCAGAGATTTGGTCACCAGAATTGAATCTCATCTGTATCTCCTCAGCACTACTGGCAGGTGTAGCTACTGTAAAATACGTAGAGTAAAACATTTTTATTGTAGTGGTAATTCAAGTTAGCTATGCAGCTGCATCCTCACGAGTATTTTTCAAGCATGT